AAGAATTCAGCAACTAAAATACGTAGAAAATGTAAAAAGTCGTGGAATAATGGGTTTGTTTTTGAAAGCGTTATTGTCACTGTTTCAGTTTGTACCGAAAAGCAGGTGAGCGTTGATGGATCCTGTCTCGATAAAGTGGAAATTGGGAAGTCCTGTAAAAATACAAAGCAATGCATGGGTGAATCAACATGCGTTGATGGTGTTTGCAAATGTCCCGATGGAATGACCAATCAGTCAGGATTATGCAAAGAAGGTTAGCTTACTTTTCGGGATTCTTACTTTTCTTAGAACTGCTTTCACGCTTTATGTCTTTGAGATTCTGTGTGGGATAAGGAAGCAAAAGGAGGAGGGGGTAGAGGGGGACATTTTTAGCGTGGACAGATTTAATCCCTATCCCTTAGGTAAGGGATTGTAATTTTTCACAAAACTGCTTTTGCTTTACTTCTTGGAGAGTCTTTAAAGGATAAGGGAAGGGGGGAGGGGGAGGTGAGAAGGAGAGGACATGTTTGGCGTGGACAGGTTTAACCCCTCTCCCTGTTCAAAACGATAGCATTCGCAGTAATCACGAACTGGGGTTTTTCTAGGATGGCCCTCATTTGTGGGAAAAAAAATTTTCTTTTCCCAGCCAGAAATAACAGTTCTGTTTGTGGCTTTTATGCATTGCAAACTAATTCGCAGTCCATGCATCAGTTTTGCGCACAACAGTTTCCCGCAAAGCTTCTGTAGCCTAAGAAGTTTTTTGGGACATTTTGATTCCGATGCACATGAAGGCCATTTTTATGCTTGCCACGCTCGATAAAATCAGGCTTTGTGGATCCATCTAGGCCCACTGTGAATCATAAAAACCAATTTTGTTGCAAGCGCGTCTGAGTTTTTTTCAATAAGTTACGTCGTAGTACCACATTTATTTAATAATCCCTCACCCTCCCAAAAAAGTTTGAGAATGCAAGGTAAACTTTAACATTCTTTGAGGCCGAGATTATTTCATAAAAAAAAATTTATATTCTTTTCATAGATAGTTTCAAGAAAATAGGGCTGATGCTTGTAATACGATGAGTTTTTCAGGATGCATTGAAGGTCACGTATTAATAAAGGACGAATGTTTGGAGCAGGTTGAACCGGGAGATCTGTGCATTGATGACAAGCAATGTTTGGGCGGATCGAAGTGCGACGAAGGTGTTTGCGAATGTCCCAAAGGGCAGCACATCCAGCGAGGAAAATGTGTCGAAAACGTGACAAAGCCTGCCGCAAAATGTCCAATTCCCGGGCAGTCGCCGTATTACGAGCGAGGATCCACGAAGGTTACTATTATCTGGAAGAAATAAATTTCCTAAAAAAAGAAGTTAGCACGCTAATTTCAAAGCAATGAAATTTAGGGGAGAAATTAGGGAAAGACTATTTTTGAATTTATCATATTATCATGTCCTGGATTCACACTGTCCTCTTCTAATTTTTTTCTTTTTTTTTCTCTTTCAAATGACCTCTTTGCAAGGGTTGTAAAGGTGCTTACTGTTGTCAAAATTCAAAAGATTTAAATTTT